AAGTTTGTGTAGTATTCGTATTTCGATAATCGATGCATGACAAAAAATGATTGTGGTAGATTAACATTCATTACCATCCACATAGGAGGATAGAAGCTAGTTTATTACTCTGATTAAATTCTAGTGAAATTTGCACTAAATATGACCAAAACATAATGACTTTCCTAATGTAGGACTTAAACTTTTTTATTCCCTAAATAGGACTTAATAATGACCTAGTGGAAGGAATAATGTCCAGTAATGATAGACATTTAGTTGAATAATGACTAATTGATAATGACCAAAAGTCCTACATTGTGAAATAAAAACATATGATCCTATATTGGGAAAGTCATTATGTTTTAGTCCTATTTAGGTAAATTTCTCTTATCTAATTCATCATACTAACCCCTGTATTGGTAACTTTATTAAAATATGAAAGATTGTACTCCAACTCATGAGTCCTCTTGGCCTAGATAGTGAATTGAGAAAAGTTAAATTGTTATACTAATCTATTTGTTCATTTTTTAAAAAATAAAAAATTTACAATCAGAATTGATAAAATTTATTTATTGATCATAAATTAGATACTTTCTCTTCCTAAAAAATCATGTTTCATTTTTTACGCATTCCAAGATATACTTCTATCTATATCTCCTTAATTATCAGTAGAATTTATTTTGAAGATATTTTAGATGAAGTAGAAGGGTTTTAAGAGTTGCGTAAAGGTGAAAAAGAAACTTTTTTAGGGACAGAGGGAGTAAAATTGATATTAGATATTTATATAAAATTAAATTTTTTAGATTTATCTTATAAAATATTTTGAAAATATTGTTATAGTTATTTAATATACTATAGGCTTATTATTATTATTTTGACAAAATATCTTTTTATTTAATTATAAGTCAGAAGTTAATTCTAATTAATTGTAAAAAATTAAAATTGTACAAATATTATGAGACAGAGATGTATAATCTTAAAGTGGTGGAGAGAGGCAATTTTATCGAAACGAAAGAAGAGGAGAGGAGTGATATCCAATGATGATCGCTTGAAATTGAAGTAGCCCGCACGACTACCTCAATTGGTTCAAGAAGAAAATGTCAAGTTTATAGATTCTTTAGTCAAATCTTGACAGCAGCAGTGTGAGAGTTCTATTTTTAGTAATAGCTTATTGTGCCCATTGAGCCCGAAGCGATCTTCTTAAAGATCAGATCAAGATTATACCATGATTTATTCTCTCACTATCATATCGGGCCGAGGCGTGAGGGCGCCTGAGGGGGCGTTCCACCTTTAAAATTGAAGTAGCCCTATCTATATTTTAATGGTGCTGGCTCCTAAAGAGAGACAAATAGGCCTTGTTGGATGTGGATGGATGGTACGTTTGCAGCCGTGGCCACTAATCAATCTCTCTCTTTTTTAATAATGCTCCTTCCAAACTTGGGCTGTCTTCGAAAACAACAATTAAGGACAGGTGACAGAAAAGAAATGAGACCAATTCCTAATTTGAAGAAAGAAAAGTTTTATCTTCTTTTTCTTCTTCTTTTTTAATTAGATGTGTCTTCTCTCATCTCCATCTCTTTAATTCATAATATTCGCGCTAGTCTCGTAGCTGTCTTTTGATTTGAAACAAGTTTACTTGCCAAGTCTACCCACTCCACTTGAATCTCTCCGTCCAAAAATGTTCTTCTCACTCTTTTTGTCTGTCCGAAAATAGTATTCTCATTTCCGTTTTTAGTATACTTCTTAAGAGTAAATGTCAATAATAACCTTCTACTTTACCACCCATCCGTGTATTATTGGTTTCTGAATTAGAAAATGAGCTCTCAAAGTTTAAAGTAGGGACATTTCTTAGAATTTTGGCACTTTTTTTATTTATTCTTTCATAAGTGTGTCAAGCCAACACGGGAAGAACGTTCTCGGACGGAAGAAGTATTTAAGTTTTTACATTGTTTTAAAAGAATATTGATATTATTAAAATATAGGAGTACCTAATGTTTTCCACATAATAACACATACTCGGTATATTAATTTTCTTAATAATATTAAAAAAAAGGGTGCAAATTAAATAGAGTAAGTGATTTATAGGGTGGGTGGATGATCGGAGATAAGGAGGTAGGGAGGGAAAATGACGGATGGGGAAGGGTACAATGTGGTCACACCAACACAATTAATATTCATTTGCAGATATAGACAGCACAATTATATTATATTTATATTATATTCACCCATGAATTTTTAAAAACAGCCCAAAACGGTTTCCAGCCGTTGAAGAAATCCCATTTTTAGAATCCTGTACTTCTATATTCCATAAAGTTGTCACCACAGGTTACCCATGCTATTTATTTTTTCATTATATATTTCCCCATTTTGTCACCCAACTTTTTCCACAGTTCCCATTACTATGCTTTGTTCCCTTAAAAAAATTGCTCCAAGAAATCACAATCCTAGTAACAATAAATAATTAGAAGTTGTCTTGAGTTCAATCTCTTTAATATTGATCCACAAGTTAGATAACTCCCAAAAAGTCTCTTACTTCAATTTTGTAGATTCAGATGTTTCGCACAAGCCTTGCTGATCCTATCGCACGTTGTTGTAGCATCTTCTAAGACATGCATCCTCATCAAAAATTTATCAACTTTAAAAAGCCAAAATAAAAAAAACTCCTAACAAATATGTGCCAAAAAATTAGCCAATACCTTGAAAACATTTTCCACACCGCTTGTATACCATTTTTGCTTCGGGACACACACTGACCCAAAATGCCTGCATGGACTAGTGTGTGGCATTGTAAAATATGGTGTGCAAGTGATGTATACTATGGTTGTGCACACCTAGGCCCTAGCACGTTGTAACAAAAATATTACTCCGTATGTATTATTTCTTGTTTTCACAAACACTTTGGCTTTATTCGTTGGAGTTTCAACTCTTAACATCTAACATTTTCTAACTTCTTTCGATTTTGTCAACACTTTTCAATTTTTTCAACATTTTTAGCTTTTTCAACCTCCTTTTAATGAAAGTAGGGTCAGAGGGGGGAGGGGGCGATGAAGAAAGATGAGTTGGTTAGGCTAGCAAGTGTTAGATGTTAGGGGTGGTGTTTCGATGGAAGAAGCGTAAGAAAGTGATTTCACATTCAAAAGATTATCATAAGAGGATGTGAAAACATTTTATAGACATACAAAAAAGAAAGGTGAAAACTTAATTTATGGATGGAGAGAGCATTAACTTTTGTTGATGTGAAATTCGGCTTCCTTTATATCCACGGGGAGTATACCTCCCGACTTTCAATGTTGCATAATAACGCTCTATGCCCGTACGAGTTTTTCAGTTGGGTTTTAAGGAAGAAATTAAGTCCAAAATCAGAAGGATCTAAAATCTGACATGACATTTATGGAGAAAATGGACCTTGTGTCATAAATTTCTAAAATTTATCACTAAGTGTTAAGCAATAATTAACATTATAGTAAAAATAATATCACATTAATAGTATTTAAATATAAAAAAAATTGGAGCCCTTCTGAAACGGGTATGGACCGGATAGCCACCCTGTCCATATCTTGAGCCCCTCCTATCCAAGATATCATGACCAAATCTTAAAATTGACATGTGAGAATTTCATATGATGCGGTGGTTCTTAGTATGCACTAGCACAGAACAAGTGATCTGAGGAAAGAGTAAGATTATTCTGTGACCCTTACACTATTTTGTCACGTCGGCGTGATAAGATCGAGTGTCGGGTGGGTGTTCCACCTTTTATTTTTATGATGATGAGGCTCTATGTTTTTTGGTCATAGTGATTAAAAAATGAATAATTTGTGTCCTTGAGATGCAAACAAGAAAGAAAAAAGTTATGAAATATTGATATAGAAGGCACAAATTAAAGTCCCTCTATATAGTTGGAGTGGCATAATAATGCAATGTCCGAATTCATTTAGATGAGTAGTGTGATTCAAATTAGAGAATAGATGACGACCTTGATGGTAACCCTTCATACCCAGTCAGCCAGCTCATCTGGTGAAACATAAGTCCTGATGAACAAATCTTATTTTGTGTCCACTTTGATGGCTTTAACCTACCCCTACACGCCCCTAATCTACGTTAATGTCTACTTTATTAAACACCAATTTGTACACCAAGGAGTTGCATTAGTGCTTTGATGCATGCATGGCTCACATTGGTACAAATTTTAAGTATGAAATTTAGTGTTCACACTAATATTTTGTGTATATGAATCATCATAGTACTTGTGCAATCCCTTGGTATCCACCAAGTAGTGTGTAAGTAGCATTATTGACATCCAACAAAAACTACTTTCACATTCGTAGTGGTGTACAAAACTTGCATTGATATAAGCTTGAGCTTTTGGTTTTGTAGTGGCGCACAAAACTTTCATTTCTTTTATTGTGTACCAATACATGTAGACCAAACGGAAATTTACCCGACATATTTTTGAATTGAGATCTTGTTAGAACATAAAAAACAATTCTGGAACCATAATTATAAGTTTGAGCTTTTGGTTAAATTAGTTCCCTGACATTATATTGGAACCTTGTTGACCAAGAGGTCACAAATTCTAACCTTACCGCCGCACAATTTGAAAATTAAAGATTAATTTCCACATGTAAGGTTCGAGTAAAAAAACTCCCTTGGACATGGGATGGCATGTTAGAGTATAGAAACCATACCTAGAACCACAAGTATAAGCTTGAGCTTTTGGTAGAGTTGAGCCAAAAACACTAAGTTTTATTGGAACAAAAACGTTTACTGATCAACCCAAAATTCCTGTTAAAATTGGCTAAAACTTGACTGAATTTGAATCCGACCTGCTAAGCTAAAGTTTTATTTTAAAAAATCATATACTTTAATATAACACAATTTTTTTTTACTTCTCTTTTTTAATGTATAAACCTTTTTTTTAAGAAGAAAAGGGAGGTGGGGTTGATGAGAAGTAAATAAATATAGAGAAAAGAATGGAGAGGCTAAGATCCCAACAGCCACAGCCCATTGTAATTAGGCAAAATGACGTCGTCCAAAATGTATTTCCATTGGAAATTTGCCAAAACCAATTCCAACCCACACCCTCCCAATGCTGGTTCCAATGTTTTGAAGAACCATGGAATTGAATGCTCATACATAACCAATCCTACAAATCACAAAGAATGTTTCCGGCGACCAGTAGACGAAATCAAAACACCTTGAAACTTACAAGGCAAGAGATGGAGAACGGTGAGGTCAAGGCGGCGGGGTGAAGGAGGAGGAGGAGGAGCAGTGGAAGCCGTTTCTTTGAAGGGGAGGCCAGCTCTGAGGCGGCGGCGGCGGATGCCTTAAGATGTGCTGAGGAAGGAATCCTGATGATGCTGCAGCAGCTGTTGCAAATATCTGTTGGGGAAGAAGAAGACTATTCGAATGTGACTGCCATTGTTGCTGTTGTAGAATTATGTTAGCGTTAAGGTTGCTTGCTGCTGTTGTGTTGTTTGAGGACGACAGGCATAACTGGTCTCCCACATTCCATCCCCTCATTGTCCCTCCTCCCACACTGTTGCTGCTGCTCTGGCACTGCACCTGGAAATACACGTGCAGTCAGAATATAAAAAACTTTTCTTGAGCCTACAAGTATGAGCTTTTGGTTGAGTTAGTAATTTGTCGATGCTAATGCAGACATGAATATAAAAAAATTGTTTTTTTTTGTTTCGGGTCATACTTGAAAGCTTGGCGTGTTGAACTGATGTGGTGGGAACATCTGCAGCATTTGCGTTCGGCCTAAGAGCTGCAACGTTTCTGGGTCGTGGTACCCCTCCCTTCTTCGGGCCGTTGGGCTCTCTTGTTGCTTTCATAAATCAAATGTAACGAATTACAAGACCAAATATAGAGAATGTCATTGTTAGATGATAATAATAATAGTACTCTTAATTAATTATGATAGTCTTTGTATATTAGTCAGCTTCTATACTAGATTGAATCTTACAGAAAGATATATAATATGGTTCAGCTCAGGAGTGTTATGACCGAACTGAGTCGTTTATACCCAATGGTATATGACATCGAAGAAGCGGGTAAAACTATAAGTACAATTTGGGAGATGATATGATATTTTAAGGCATAATTAGTTACCCCATGATGCCCCCAATCCAGATCATATTGCATTGCAGAGGAATTGTGACCCATATTTTCAGCCATTTCTCGGTTGCCTGAGCTGGAGCTCCCAAGGCTCAAATCAAGATTGTGATCCGCTGCATTATCACATGTTTCTGCGAATCATTTAAAACCATAGAGGAATTTGTGAATAATCTTATATGTATGTTTTGTGATGGTGCTTAAAGGACAGGTTGAATTAGAAGAAAATGTTAGTTTGATTTTACCAGAGGTGGAATTAAGCTCATTCTCATATATACTGGGATCAAAATTGGTCACTGCATCCTTGCCATTGCATTTTATTGCAGCTTTGTCATAAGCCCTGTTTTTTTTATATATATATAAAAAGACGGAATGTATTGTCATTAGGATTACTCTGTCCCAGTTTATTTGCACACTTATTATTATGGAGTCAAAATTCAATCAATTTAGATTACTTCTTTAAAAATAAATTTAGTCAACGAACGGTCCAATGAAACCAGTCCCTAATATAAGAGGATTTGGACTAGTCCTTCAACAAGTTTGACCTTTCAGGAAAGAATCTCACGCGTTAATAATTAATTAATTAAAGTACAACTCCAATATATGTCTAGTGTACGTAGGTCTAGTAGTAGGGGTATGGTAACATAGTATGTCACGCTAGGCCATAAATCAGTACCTTAAACCACCACATTAAAATATTTGTGACAATACCAATCTTATCAGAGTATCTAATAAGTACTTCGTATTAAAAAAAGAAGATACGGTAGCCAGTAGCTAGGGGAGGGGTACGTACCTGGCAGCTTCAATTTCTGTATCAAAAAGACCCAAATACACATACCTGTTTTGGTAAAATTACGAGTTTCAAATTTATGGATCAATATGGAATACTAGTAGACACTAGACACTTGCAAAATAAAATATAAACAAAGAAAAAAGTTTTATATTCTCCATAAAGCAATGAGAATAAACATGGACAGCAAGATAAGCAGAGAATAATTAAACCATTTCTTTTCTTTTCTTCTTTATTTCTTTTTTTTAATTAATATAAATTGAATATTAAAAAAATAAAAAAATAAAAACTCACTTTTTGCCCAAGAACTGGCCCATTCTAGCTTCCCATCTACCACATTTATGCAAAGTGACGCCTCTATACTTTGAACTCCCCCTTGGAAACCCAGTGCTTTGTCTCCGCAGCACATGAACAAACTCTTCCTTTGTTAAATTGTTCATCTGCACCTCCCATTTCTCAATAATATTAGTTTCATACCCAATAATTAAAATGAAATTAAATTAAACCCTCATTTTATCTTTCTTCTTCTTCATAGTAATAACGAAAAAAAATAGGTGGTGTTTTATTTAAGGAAGAAAATGCACGAGGGTGGGGTGGGGGGCATGAGGAAGTGAAACAAAAAAAAAACATTGAAAGTACAATGGCCTACCTGTTTTAAGTCTTCTCCGTAATCCTCCAGACTAAAATTTATGTCCGCTTCCACTCCCCGGAATTTTATTGCCGCCCTATCGTATGCGCTGACAACATTTTTCTACAATTTTGTCTCAATAATTCTCTACTTTTTTTTTTACTATAATGTCTTGTTTTTTCACATAGATTAATTAAACATCATTAATCACGGAGTATATATGTTTTAATTACATACCGAGCAGCTGCATGTGCGGTATCAAATCCACCTGCACATAGATTTTTTTTTACAGATTAGTCCATGTGTTTTTTTACTGGTGAGGTAAAAAAATTGAAGAAGACGGAAATGGTTTGTTTTACCTAGATAGACTTGTTTCCCACAATCCCTGGACAAGAAAAAAGAAAAAAAAATGATGAGCGGAAAAAGAAAAAGAAAAGAAAGGAGAGAGGTTTGATTTGGATTTGGAGATCGATGATGGCTGACCATATGTGAGACTCCCACCGGCCGGTTCGCCGGTAAAATGTGACGCCCCGGTATTGGGAGCTTCTCGACCGTGGCCCGCGGCGGCTCTTCTTCATCGGCTGCTGCGCGAAGCCCTCCAGAGACGGCGGCTTCTCCGTCGTGCCGCCGCCTGCGGCGGCGTGGGATTCGGACTGGCGAAATTTGACTCCGACCCAGTGAGCCCTCGGCAAATGGAGCGACCTGTCGCCGCCGGATTCGGCAGCCATTTCTGACTCGTCGACGGGGAAGAACTGCCGCGTCACCGGCGAGAAGCTGCCGTGACCCGGACCGGCCCCCACCGGAAACCCAAAGATTTTACCCGGCGCCGCGTCTCTTTCACTCCGGCCCTTACCCCCGTCGTCCTCGTTCACTTCCTCGTCTTCTTCCTCTTCGGAAGCGTCCTCGACGACCACAGCCGACGAGCTCGAATTGGAACCGGATCCGACCCGTTTGCCCTTGTCATCATCTCCGTCGGCAGCAGGGGTGGAGCAGCCCTCCTCCGATTCGTAGTGATCCGGCGAATCGTTCAGATCCCACATTTCCATGAATCCCTCCGAACCCAAAAGGTCAAACGAGCCACACAATCGGTGAGGGGATTATATCTATCCTCGCTAATAAGATTCTTTCTGTAATTATTATATAAGAGCTTGGAACAGAGTCCTTCCGAGTTTCAAACATATACATACACACAGATATGTATGTATGTATGTGATGAGGCCGTACATATGTATGTATATATTTGTATATATTCTCTGACTCTGTGTTTTGCGTAATTAAATACGCGGTAGATTGAAGAGATCGAGACAGAGCAATAATAAAATAATGGGGGAAAAATGAGGTTTGGGCAGAGGGGATTCAAAGAACATGAAACCTACGACTTATAGAGAGAACGAAACTCAAGTTTGTTGTGAAAAGTTAGTTGGGCGAGAGAGGATGGAGCCAAGTGATGATGATATTGATAGGGGATGACATGATGATGATGATGATGATCCCATCCATCCATATGTTCCTTCCTTCCATCCACTATGAATGAATGAATACGAATGAATGAATGAATGAGAGAAAGAAGAAAGTAGTAATAGTAGTAATAGTACCAAGTTAAAGTATAACACCACATTTATCTATCCCACTATTACTTGCCCAAAATTAATGCCCTACATCATCTAGCCCAAATCCCTCATGTGCCATCTTTACCCCCATTTCACTCCTCAATTCAATCTCTCTTACCCATTCTCTTCCTTTTAGGAAAATAATTTTATACTCTCTCTGTCTAACAATTTATTTTCAGAATCAAACTTTATTCACTTTGTTGACGTATTTTTATCGATCATTTGATAAAATAATATAGTCATGTCACTTCTAGTTTTGTAGATCTTTTCATGTAGTTTTTGAATATGATTTTTTTTAATTTCACACGATTTTTCATATAAAATAATTTGAAAATAATTTCAGTCAAACACCGTAACGCGCAACAGAAAAATTATTGTTGGACGGAGGGAGTAATTTTTTTAATATGAAATGAAAACCCAATTAGGGGTGTATATTATGGGGTAGGGGTGGACTAGGTAGGGAGGTTTATACGAATAAGAATTAATCCGGGTCGAATAGAAAACTCATCATAAATACTCAATTTGACTAGTGTCTTGTGTCCTTATAATCAAAGTGATGCAATTTTTATCTAATTATTGATTATCGATCAAAATTCATCGAGTTTGGAAATACTCATCATAATTACATTGCACATGACTATTTACTAATGAGTACATACTCCATCCATTTCTTTTTAACTGTCTCATTTAATTTACATGTCAAGCGTGGGATTAATTATATATAAAAATATACAATGAATTTAAATATAAAACTACTCTAGACCGGATCTAGGATGGTTTGCTGAGTTGAGATACTGAAAGGATTTAAGAAACGAAGATTAATCGGGAGAACTGTAGGTGGGAACACCTGTAGTCCAATTGTTATTAAGTACAAGAAGAATACATTGTGGTATTACACAATATATCCGTTTAGAGAGATGAAATTCGGATCCCCTCTAAGGAGGGTTACAAGGGTATTTATAGCAAAGCTAGGAGACAAATACTCTGGAACGGAGGTAAAATGGTTGATTGAAAAAATTTAAAACCGAGCAAATACCACGGAACGGAGGTAGTATAAATCAAATAATAAAAAAATATCTTAGATCAAATCAAACAACGTAAACTAAAACATAACAAATACTCCCTCCGTCCCCATAAGATGTTCTCATTTTGACTTTTAGTTGTTTTTAAGGAGAATTGAAAAAAGGTAAAAGAAATAGGAAGCATCGAGTAATAAAAGAGAGGAAAAAGAACCAATTCAAAAGAAAAAGAAGAAGCTAAGAGAACAATTCAACAATAAGGGCGAAGTAAAATTGATTTTCATGCAAAAAATAGAAACTCTCCCTTTTATTTTTAGTTCCATGTTTGGTGAAAGCATTCATCACAACCCACAAGTCTTTCTTCTTCTTCATCATTCTTCTTTGGTATGGCATCTAATTCTCATCACGCTTTTCCATGCACACATAATGCTTTTGGGTTTGGTGCGCTTCATTTAACCGCTCTGTGTTTAGTTTAAACTTTAAATGAGTTTAGTCGTACTTGTACGGCGCATGCACTCCATCCTGCAACCCTCATCTAGCATTAATTCCTTTTTTTATTGTTATAATTATGGTTTTAATTAATATTATTATATGCACCATTTATGGAAGAGGTGTAAACGTGTTATTTGTTCTAACATGGCGTGAGTGATTTTTGTCAAACTAAATTCACGGGTCGCCAAATCTAACCATTTTTCTACTTGAGTATCTCTTTCCTTTTTTAATTAAAAATGATTATTAAACAGAATACTCTGGCTTGTTTTTTTTCTCATCTGGGTGGTTAAAAATGGAAAATTATTAAAATGAAAAAGAAAAAAAAACAGTGTGCGGAAGGGAAGCAACAACCCAACCATCTCTGGCTTTCTTACGCAACTTTTTTTACGTTAGCCAAATCGAAAAGCATTTCCATACATGCCTCTGTCTATTCTCGCTCTAGTGATTTGTTTAACGTGGAACAATTAATGGTGCAAGCTAGAGTAATTAAACAAGTAGATTTATCAAAGAGTGGTCAATAAAATTTGAATTAGAAAATGTTTGTTAATTTTAATTAAAAGAGTGGTCAATCTTCGATTGATACATAAAATTCAAACTATGGGATTGGAATTGAAAACAATAATTTAAATTCCGCTATTTGGTAGTTAAAAAATACTCCCTCCGTTTTTTAAAACACTTCCTCTTTCATTTTTTTCACTTCCAACAAAACACTTCCACTTTTTATTAAAAAACTACTTTTACCCTTACTTTTTCATACCCTACCTATCACATCATACTTTATCTCTAATAATCTATCCATCACATCTTACTTTTACCTATCACATCAAGGGCAAAATTGGAAGTCAACTACAATTTAATACTTCCTTATTTTTACACAAAGTCAAAATAGGAACACTTTTTCCAAACGGAGGGAGTATGTGGGTTTGGATGAGTTGGAATAAGAGAATTCAATTTCATCCAAATCAATTCCATAGAATTTCACTCCAATTCAATTCCAATTATGTCAATTCAATTCCATTTATGTCAATTCCATGCACAAAACGGACCCTAAGGGTCCGTTTGGTACACATAATTGATAGAATTGGAATTGAATTGGAATTAAAATTCCACGGGATTCAATTCCATAGAATTGAATTCACCAATTCTAATTCATTTTTTACACTACCAATTCCAAATCCACATAATTTTTGTTCTACCAAACACGAGAATTGGAATTGAAGTCCTCATTTCCAATTTCATAGTTTGAATTCTGTGTACCAAACGGGACCTAATAGAATTTAGAATTGTGAAAAGGTTATTGGATTGGACCATAAGATACTTGGACTAAACTACATTAAAAAAATGAATCCAATATATTATTTAGTTCAACTGAATATTGAATCCAAGTTAAATACTGAATATTTAATCTTAGATTTTCAATGTGAGATAATCTCTACCTAGTTAGTTAATACGTGTATAATACGCGTATTATACTTACGTACGTATAATACGCGTATTATACTTGCGTATACGTACAAAATCATAAAATACGTTAAAATACGCGGATTTTAACCATAAACGTATTATACACGTTTTTTCCTATTCTCTGCTTTCCAATTTCCCAAATTAGATCGGTAGATTCAAATCATCCTAGCCTCTCTCTCTAATCTCTATCGGTCATTCGGTCTATCTCCAAGTCTCCGATTCCTCGTGGGCTCGTCCCCTCTCTCTATCGACTGCAGTAGTTCCGGACTTCCGGCAAACAAGCGCCAGTGAGCCACCGCTGCAATTCCCGAATTCCAGACGGCAGTGCCTCTGCGCCACAGTAGCAATTCCCGACGGCAGTCCCTCTGTCGTAGCCCCACCAGCCGTTTCCCGTACGTCCCAATTCCCTAACCTAATTTCATAATTTTTATCATTTAATTTCTTCTTTGATTTGAGTATGAAGTTTCAATTCTCAACTCTCAATTGTATAGTTTCAAATTGCATTATCCACTCAGCTTATGGATGATTTCATAGTTCAAACTTCAAACTTAAATCCATGTTTCCTGTAAGCAAGTGGATTTCCAATCGTGCGTATGGAATTTCTTCTTCAATTAGAGTATGAAATCATCCAACCTAATTGGGTTTTATATTAGATTTATATTGGATTTTTTGGATTTATTTCAATTTAAAGCAAGATTGTTGTTTTTATTCACTTTATTCTTTTTTTTTTTGTGAATAAATATGTGTATATTATAAGACGTATTTTATATTTAGGAAACTTTTAACACACGTACGTATGCGTATACGTATTTTGTACGTTTGAAACATATAATAAGACATATTTTATAAATTTTTAATGTATTATACACGTACGTACGTATTTCCGTATTAAACTTTTGCCGTATATAACTAACTATGATCTCTAAGAACTCTCCCCTCCGCGTGGGATAAAATTGTATGGTATTTATCATCTCTTTTTCTCTACACAAATCATAAACTTCTCTTTTCCCCAAAAAACCCTTTTACCCCTTACTTTTTTTATACCCTACCTATCACATTATACCTTTTTACTAATAATCTACATATCACATCTTACTTTTACACATCACATCAAGGGTATTTTTGGAAAGTCAACACAAAAATATCCTTCGCTTAAATCCTCAAAAAGTCAAAAAGGGAAGTTTATTTAGGGACGGAGGGAGTATTATGTGAGGGAAGAGTAATAATTAAACTTCAAATGCTACTGAATATTTTCTGTAAAATTTTAGTTTCAACCCAAATTCTCTAAATTTTGAGTAGGTTTTATAAATTTTACTACTCTCTCCGTCCCCCAATATCTTCTTATTAGCACTTTTTCTTTGTCCACAATAGATCTTCTCATTTCATTTTTTAACAATTAAAATACCACAACTACCCTTACTTACTTTATTTATTACACCTCAGCCACCTCATTTAATACACTCTATCCATTTTTATTAAGGGTATTATGGTAAACTTTCACTTTTTTTCAACTCTCCTTAAAAACCAGCAAAAGTCAAAATGAAAACATCTTAGGGGACGGAGGGAGTACTATACTTTAGTCGTGCATTTACACAGTTTTATCTATCAAATATGAAATCAATTTTTTTTTACTTTACACTTTTAGCCATTTTATTTATGAAGTTACACTATTTGTTTAATACGTCAAATGTTTTTAAAAGAAAAAGCCTGAATGATTTGTGAGCCAGCTCACTTCAATATCACCCCTACCTATGCTATCCCTAAATATTTGTCCATTTTTTTTGTCTAGATTGACAAATTTTGATTATAAATTAAACAAAAATGATATTAGATATTGGTACCAAAATAATTTTGTTAGATTCATTAATATTTTCAAAATATTATTTTATCTAATTAATATACAATATATCATAATATATTTTATTTAATTGTAAATCAGAAGTTAAGAACAATTAATTATAAAAAATCAAAACTGAATAAATACTTAGTGAACGAAGTAATACATATTAGCTCTAAAATTTTATTCAATTTCTCTACTGGAAAAAAAAAAGAAAAAAGAAATTTTCCGAGGTAGATACTCCGTATCTATCCTATTTTCATGTATCCCAAACGAGGCGTAAAGGAAATGGACAGCATAGAAGAAAGAAGGTTAAGTACTCAAAGAACCACAATTAGCTACGTTAATTATCATTTCACTGTCATCCAATTCATTCATTCATTCATTCATTCACACGTCAGAGGATCGTTCCTTAGATTTTGCACTGTTTTTTTTTATTTTTCAATTTTTATTTTTTACCCGTTACGGTCGGGAAATTTGTTTCACCTTGTTTTTTTACCATTTGGGTGAGTAATTATGGGTGGGGGAGGGAGGGTATTTTGGGAAGAAGGGAAAGTGGTACTGTTGCGAGTCAGGGTCACGGCTGAAGGGGAGAGGACCAGAAAAGGAAATTGGAATAATTGCGAAAAAGGAAAAACTTTCCAGAAATGTCCAATCCAAGAGTACAGGATTGGGGCCCCACCCCTATGCTCCGTTTTACCCTTCCAGTGACCAATTGCTTTCTGACCATGTACCTCGTATTTATTTATCAACGCCCCTTCCTCCTCCACGCTCCCCCCTATAGCGCGTCTTCCCCACCTCTCCTCTCCTTTTCATTAAAAAAAGGATGAGCCCCATACCGAGGGTCCTCTCAGATCCGATCGAACAGTCATTGAGAAGAGCTAAATTGGATTTTAATCGCAGATTGATGTCAAAGAGTAAAGTCTGCACTTGGTATTTGCAAAACCCCTATGTATAGCATAGTTATCTTACAGCGCAGTTGTCAAAAGTCGAACTCGGATCTTACTCCCTTGCACCCCTTGCCTTGCCAACTGTGCAATGCCCACCGGCCAAAGAAAACCTCATTCCAATTGAAATTCAATATAAAAAATGACATTGCACGCGTACACAATTTCTGACAGAGTTTAATTAATGGAAAATTAATAGTGAGAGTGGAGATAAAAATTATGAGGTACTCAAGTTTTCTAAAAATAGAATAATGAACTTTTTTTGAGTCAGTGGGATTACTGTTTAATTATATTTAAAAGTGATTTCTATCTCATAAATCTTCGTTTAAAACTCTCCTTGCTCTCGGCCCCTAGCTTCTCCTCTAATGTTTTGCCAAATGACTTGTTTGAGATCATCGTTTTTTATTATATTAGCGGTAGCGTTTTGAATAAAATTTTGAGGATATGATGTAAATTAAATCTGAAAATACTAATGCTAAAGGCTACCGTTAGATAGTCTTTTCAAAACGCCAATACTAATTTCATACGCTGATGCCAAATGGGACTAAAGTGTAAGACTTATACGGTAAAAATATATTGCGATGAAATGCAAGAAGAGCAAGCGGGAGGATTTAAGGGGATTAGGAGGAGTTAAAATAATATTTTGGTCCAAAAAATGTACTCCCTTCGTCCGGAAATGTTCTTCTCGGGTTGACTTGGCACGCTTATTAAGGAATAGTAAAAAAATGCAAAATTTTCAAAAATGCACAAACTATAAACTTTTAAATCTCTTTTTATTATTAAAAAAGTACTAAAAAAGTATATTTGTGATAAAATAGAAGGGTATTATTGATATTTAGCCTTAAAAAGTATACTAAAAAAGGAAATGGGAAGAATATTTTCGGACGGACCAAATAGGAAAATGGGAAGAATATTTCCGGACGGAGGGAGTAACAAATTTTTTGGTCTACAACAAATACTCACAATAATTGATATAGAACCCGGCCATCAATAATATGTTCATCACACTTTTTTTTTGAAGTCTGTTCATCACACTTTTAAGTCCTCAACACTTTAAAAAGAACAACCAATTAAGGCCCAAAAGAAGTCTCAATAAAAACTCAAGCTCATACAATAGTAGGCCCAGTAGATAAAAGATACTCCCCACACCTCACCTAACTCATTTAAAATACTCTATTCATTTTCATTAAAGATATTATGGTAAACTTTCACTTTTTTTTAACTTTCCTTAAAAATTACAACAAAAAAATAAAACGAGAATATCTAGAAATGGAGAGATAATTAAATTAGCATAACGCATATTGGTCTAGATAGATGGACACCACAGTCTTGAAGTCTTAATAGCAATTGTATTAATCTTTTATATATTGATCAATTTATATATTTAGTTCCGGTGTGGGACAAAGTTTGCTGCCTAAGAGAACTAACATTAATCGAATATGACCCAACAATTTAACGTAACATCTTGCATTATATTGGTCCTCCATTAAACAAACCTACTACACGTCTACACATTGTTTGAATTTTACTCATGCATGTGTATGTGTGATCCCAAATCGTGAATGTATATACTCCATTCGTTTACTAAAACGATGCAACAACTTAATTTAGGTATATTAGTCATTTTAACAAAATGGAAGTGTTTTAGGAAAATGAAAAAAACAGAAAGATGAATTATTTTAAGAAACGGGAGGAGTATAACAAATTAAATAGGAACTTAATTATTAATCACATTGTTCAATGAATGAGGATGGAGATAATTAATGGATCGAAGGAGCCATATATAAATGCATAGTTTTTGTATGAATCTAAATAGGCATGGAGAAAACCACTACACCTACACATAACTATTCCATTGTGTATATATATGTATGTATGTGTGTATATATAAAATAGCCACAGATCCAAGTGAAATGTCGTTTGTCTCCTTTCCCTTTTCTTGCAACTACTCATTCTTTGTTTTGTCAACTTAGAAATGCAAAGACAATGGTGATGAATATGGGAGGGGACCATGAAAGAACTTCAACAAGCTAGCTTGCTTGGGAACATAAATTATTATTATTATTATTTGAAAAAAAACCATAATATAATGTGGTTTTCAGGAAATGCCAGATCGGAAGATGATGATGTATGGACCATTTATTTACAGTATATGATGACTTTCTTTCACATGGCATTATTATTATTATTATTTTTATTATTGGATTAATTGAATATATATGTGTGTGTGTGTGCCTATCTCTATGTTGTTGTTGTTAGGGTTTCTTTAATTTCAACATGCATAATTAATGAATGAAAGAAAAAACATTATAATATCTTACTCATATGCTAATTGATTCATACGAGGATTTTAGCTGTTTGCTCAAACAAGGTGGGAGATCATAGTTGGTGTTTCCATCCACTCTCCACTTTGTTTTGTGGACTTTTGTCCACTTTCTACAAACAAACACCCTAATATGGTTATGGATGGTTGGCCAATTCATCCTCCATTATTAATTACACCCTACCTCTGTTATTTTTTCTCGCTTTTACTTGACACGTTTTCTAATATTTTGTATTGAAATAATGTTTGACTTTTTACTTTGTCCCTGGTGATATAACAATTTGAATAGAGATATAAGTACTTCGTATAAAAGAAAAATAGTGTAAAATACAGATAAAGTAGGACATGGAAGAAAAATTGATTAGTCTTTTCATTTCAAAAAAGAAAAAATTACAAAAAAATGGACGGATAATCATGTGATTTACATAACTTTCAGAAATTGTCTATCTTTTTTTAGTGTGATGACGGATTTTGTGTCTTTGAGTCATCACATCATTCTCTTTTTTTTCTCAATCTCGTGGTAAAATTTGAGCCATGTCGTTGTCTAGGGGGGAAATGTAAGAACGAAGATGATTATATACTCCGTATATCTAATAAAACAATGTGGTAATATGTATGAATTGAACATGTCTTAAATGCATGTTTAGGTTCATATATGTTAATGCGTTGCAGGTAAACAATCAAATGGAGGTATAGCCGGCCAAAAGATATATAAACACTTAAAGGGGGGTGTGGGTGGAGTGGTCCTAATATATATGTACCATATAAATTCTGCATTATATTTCCATTCATTTGACAAGTTTGAAAGGGCACTTGAAATGAAATGAAGACGTTGGGCGGAGGATTAGTTGAAGCTTTCCTTAATTAGAAGTCTCCAGCTAATTAATCAACTTGCATTTAGTACTACTTTAAATTTAAGCAACCTTATTACCGAGAGGGGATTAGTGCATGTGGTGAATAATGAGACAGATTAATTGTACTGTGATGAAAAATCCTAAGCTTTAGAGCACTGGAAATACGTTTGAAGCCCTGGGGCTTTAAATCGGGGCTTCAAAATTTCTCTATCTGCCACGTCAACTTTAACTTACCTCACAGATTCACTGGAAATGGGTTTGAAGGCCCGGGGCTTCAAACCTTCATTTTTTTTACATTTTTAAATATACATCTTCTAAAACTAAATTAATAAAATGTAATTAATTTATTATTTAAATTAATCGCAATGAGACTAGTGCATTAAAAAAATTAAATTCATTAAAAAAATATTACATTCATAAACAAATACGAAGTACATTCATTAAAAAAATTACATTCATTAAAAAAAATTACATTCGTAAAAAATGCATTCATAAAAAAATTACATTCATTAAAAAAATATTACATAAAAAAACAACACTACAAAGAAATCACTAATTATTCGAGCGACTAAAGATATGTTCGATCAACACACGGAGTATTAAAGTAGTCGTTTAGAAGTGAAGCGTGGGCGGCCGCTCGATCCCGGTTTAAACATTATCGTCGGGTCCGTCGTCGGGAGGATTCGGCTTCTTCTTCTTCGCCTTCTTCCCACCATTGAATACAACTCATGGCGAAACAATAAAAAATGAGAGCTCTTTTTTCATCGTCTGATGAAGATGATCCCATTTTTAAAACATATTTTATAAATATTTATAATAAATAATAAATATTTTAGAGAGAAGATAGAGAGAAATATGTGAGAGAATGTTTTTTAGGGGAATTTATAGGTTTTTTTTTTAATTTTAATTTTTTTTTTAATTTGGGGGGGGGGGGGGNGAATGACGCGGAATGGGTGACGCCGGGGTAACGCCGCCGGGGGGCGGTGTTTAACGCCCCCTGGGCGTGAAAAGCACTATCATGCCGGTAGGCGTTAGGAGCATTTCCACTGCTCTTAGAATCATATTTAATGTGGCATGTTAATTACTCCGTAGTTTCAATGGTTTATATAATTTAATTTTTTTTATATGTAATTCAAGATACTCCGTATTATATTGCAAAAGTAAACTTAGGCCTAGTGTGTCTATACTATCCCCAATATAAAGTTGCCTCTAGATTTTCTTTTAACTTAATTTCTTTCCTTCTTTTTATGGAGTATGGGTCTTCTTTTTTAGTTTTAAATTCCATTTAGGGTCCCTGTGGAAACTACGAAAATGACTTCTGGAAAACATTTTCCGTATTTTCCTGTGTTTGGCTGGCTACAAAGTCATTAGTAAATAGCATGTTCGTCAAGGGAAAATGAAGGCATTTTGGCGGAAGTCATTTTCTGTGGTTCCTCACGCATCATCTTGGGTTTTTACCGCTATCTTCTTCTCGATTAATTACCATCTTCGCAGCTCCTCGATCAATTCACCACCATCGCCGCACAAATCCATCACCATTGTTGCTCACTTCGCCCCCATATAGATGCTCAGTTCATCACCGGCAAGGCTCAATTCGTCACCATTGGTGCAATTGTCATTGAGCTAATTTTCCAAATCTCCATAACTTCTCCCACACATCTGATTAAGAAAATGAAAAGAAATTGACTTCTAGAAAATAACTCATTTTCCAAAAGGTCATTTTCCTGGTTTCCAAACGAACCCTTATATAGATTTCAAACTCTAGTTTTAAGCTTCTAAAATTCAATTTTCAAATTCTAAACTCCAATTTTCTGACGTTAGATATTAGTTGAGATTAATACTGCATTTCATCTCTAATTATCAAACTATAGATTCTAAATTTTACAAGTTTATGGACATATATAATTAGTGCAAGCGGACATAATATGAAGTGAAACCATTTCAATTTAAAAGTGCTTTTCCGAATTTGAATTGAAAATTAAAAGTACTTCGCACATTAAAAAATGTGTACTTACAAATTGTTTATAAGAGTAAGAAATTAAATATATAGAAAAGCTAAAGTAGGAGTAAAACACTAAAAACATATCAGAATAAGACTTTCATGTTTTTTTCCCTGAAATATGAGTTAAAACTCATTTACATTACTAAACGTGGTCATGTACATTATCAAAAAGTATAGTAATGTGCACGTGAACAATGTCATATTACATCCACATTAAAACAGTTCGAACTCCCATTTCAGAAATAAAAACATGAAAGTTCTATTTTGATATTTTTTTCTTATGTTTAGTCGTATTTAGGGTGATTTCTACAATTAGATATTGTGAGTCGGGTATGTTTTTCAAAAAGATAAAAAATAATGAAAAAATTATTCTGGATCGAACTCCCATTTCAGAAATAAAAACATGAAAGTTCTATTTTGATATTTTTTTCTTATGTTTAGTCGTATTTAGGGTGATTTCTACAATTAGATATTGTGAGTCGGGTATGTTTTTCAAAAAGATAAAAAATAATGAAAAAATTATTCTGGAACATACAACAAAGAAAAGTAAAAACATCGAGACTTGAACTTTTGCCATACCACTTGGAAAATAAATAATTACGAGTATTTAACTCAACCGCAAGTTTTTGTTGGACTGGCATTAAGTTTTTCGCTTCATAAACGTTGTCAATTGTCATAAATCATAAATTAGCCCAATAGATATTCTGATTTTTCTATAATTAGGCCAATAATATACAGTAATTGAAGCCCAACGGACTACGTTGCAATTTCATGGTTTTCTCATTACCCAAAACCCACCAAACTTAAAGGGATCTTGGCAAAACTACAAGGCCCATAATCAACTTTCTTTTCTTTCTTTTCAAATACTCCGTAATGTTTATAAAATATTTTTAAGTTATAAGTCACCTGATAACATATTTCTCTGTGCTTAAAAGTTGATTTATAAGCTGTTTATAAGGTTGCTCTTACCTATTTATTTCTTAAACCATTTTTTTTGTTTCTCCTTTTTAGCAATTTTTTTATAAAATTATCCCTCGCCATTATGAATATTCCCTAATGACTTTGTTAGGAATAGTATAAATAATTCTTAAGCTTCACTTGAACTCCTTAAATCTTAAAGTTCACCTTGGAGTTCTATTTTTATTGTATGTTTTGTATGGACTAGATTGAGATTAATACAATCACGATGCATTTTTTGTTAGTGATTTTAATTAGTGTCATTGACTATATTGTATAATTGGATTAACATAAGATCGAATAAGAATTTTAATAGATGTTGTTAACGAGTTAGAAGGTGCAAAGTGCACGCTTGTTCAACGATATTAGAAATTTCACGACGGGGTCCGGGGGCGGTAGACCTGAAAACAGTGAACTATTCGAATAAATACACATTTATTCGAATAGTTCAGTACATGCTTTTTTTTGAAGAATCCCAACTGTTCGAATAAATGCTCATTTATTCGAATAGTTCAGCACAGGGCTGGTTTTTGGAAGACCCCAACTATTCGAATAAGTAGCCACTTATTCGAATAACTCGAATTAGATAACTGCCCAAAAGATAAGATTTTTCCCACGGATTGCGTCTATTCGGCCAACGATCACATCCGATCGCCCAAACGTCTATATTCCGACCCGACCCGAACTGACCCCTCGCTCCTTCCAATTGCACCCGACGAATTTTAATTAACTTCGAGTCAAAATTTAATTCCAAAGTCAACTAAATACAATCGAGACCCATGTCATCTCCCCTAGAGTTCCGTAAATGCTCCAATCGAGACCCATGTCACGAGGGACTAATGTCAACCGAACCTCTCCTTAATTAATTTATAAATTAACTGCTACCCGGTTCATCTTTTTACAAAAATTGCTGATGCACCACCGTTTGGGCTATTGCTGGATTTGCCCTGGCTGACACCATTTCTAGCATCATCTCTCTCGTTCTGCCCTTATCAAGCTCGCTTCATCCACCATCCCCTCAAACCCGATCACAGCGAGTTTTCTGAATCCACAAAAATGTCATCAATCACTTCTCCGGGCCTTTCCTCGTCTTCTCTCACTCGCTCATCCGCTGGATTCCACCCCAAGTTCCCCTGCCGGCTGCCATCTCCGCCCAGGCCCAACTCTGCTAAATTTCACACCCCCATCCGCACTCCGTCCTCTCGCAAGTCCCTCACCGTCGCTTCCGGCGCCACCTCTGCGCCAGATTCTCCACAGGTTCGACATTTATTAAATTGCCATCTCTTTGCGCTTAAATTCAACCGGTAACATGAGAATATTTGTGTTAGGTTTTGAATAAATGGTTTCGAATGGAGAGATGATTAACTGTTTATCTATCTGCTTCTGGTAGCCAAAAGAGGGGGTTTATACAGTTGGCGACTTCATGACCAGAAAGGAAAAGTTACTCGTAGTGAAGCCATCCACATCTGTAGATGAAGGTATTCGTGAATAGATTAGGTTTAATGGTTTTACTCGCTGATTCCCCTAAAAGAGTCATATTTTAACAATGTACAACTAATAGAATTCATCAATTCAATTAAGTATAGTTATATTTTTAAATTCATTTCTTAGTTTTTTATTGCTAAAAGGACTAAGGACATCAAATTTAGTTTCTTTTGTTCAATTAGGACTCTTTTTTGGTACAGAATGAAGTTTTCAAACGGTACTCCTCTTCTTTGGTTGGGAGTGAGTACTATTTATGCACACTCTTTGTGCCTGTGAAAATATCACATGCACGCAGTGTAGATTAATGCTATCGCCTGTGTATTTGAGGTTATAAGGTGCGAAAAATGCTAGGGGTACACCAAATATGTACCCCATTTGTCCCCCACCCCTTCCTTGTCCACAAAAAAAGGCAAGAAATTCAAAAAAAATTAAATAAATAAAAATAAAATAAAAATGGGTGGTAGAGAAGTGTGTGGTGTACACCTTTGGTGTACCCCTAGCATTGCTCTATAAGGTGCATCTTGCTTTTACTTAGAAAATCAACATAAGGGATCAGTACGTAATTATCTGCATTGACTGACATTTTTATTTTCGTGGCAGCACTAGACGCTCTTGTAGAAAACAGAATTACTGGTTTTCCTGTGATAGATGATGAGTGGAAGCTGGTACGTTATTTTCTTTAACAGAATTAATGGTTTTATGCATGTACAAAAAATTTTTCTTTTTGATATTTATTTCTTTTAGTTAAAAATTCAGTGTTAAGTAACTTCATACAATTAATTAGCACTATACCTTTAATGCCACCAGCCCTAACGAGCTGGGATTAAGGTGCTAATACTGATGATGATGATATTTTTCAAGTATGATGGTGTGACGTAGATGTTGTAAAGTTAGTGTATTGACACCTCCTAATGAAAATTGTGTCTTCGTCGGTGTATACCTGTTATCCGACAAGATGGGTTATTTCTTAAGATATTAGGCTTGTCTAGGACCCATTAGATGTCATGTTGGGGAACTTGTTGCCATCAAATATGATGCATTTTCGGATCAAGATGACAAGCCAAGGCCTTACTCAACCACAAAGTCTAGTTAATAAACAGCTTGGCCTATCACGTCCTCATCTATGAAGGAACCAATGTGAAACTCGTAACATTGCCACACCCTTTAAGAGCGGACATCCATGACAGATCTCACTCTATCAACACATCACTGACTTGATGGTAGCCCTCCTACTTATAGTGGCTTCACTCATATGTCAGTGTTTGTTATAACACCCTTTGAGAGATGACTCATTAGTCCAGCCTATGGGTAGGCGATCCGTGGTTTGTTTCTCAATGAGAGCACCAATGATACGTTATCATGATACCACACTAAACCCTTGCCCCACCACAAAAGGTAATCACATGAATGAATGTTTGACATTATCTTAAGTACCAATCTCTCATTTCTGGAGGAGTCGATGTGGTATTTGTAACATTATAATAGGAACAGTAAAGAAGAGGAGGGATTGTAAATATATTGAAGATATTTGCAGAATATTGATAAACCCACCATTATATGAAACTGATCTTATGGAGTGTACACATTTCGTAGTACAAACATCTGTACAAATAGATAAGTCAATCATTTTCCCTCCCTAAATGTGAACTACGGAGTAGAGGTAAAACCTAGAAAATAGGAAATTGTGGGAAAATCCACAACAGAGTGGGATAGTGCAGAACATTTAGCCTCAAAACCATCATACTGGTTACAACAACCTAGAACATGTTCTAGAAAATTATGTTCTCTTTTTGCTCTAGTATAGTAGTATGTGGCTTGCCATCAGTACACTCCCC